TCTTCTTCTTCTTCTTCTTCTTCTTCTTCTTCTTTCTTTCTTTCTTTCTTTCTTTCTTCTTCTTCTTCTTCTTCTTCTCTCTCTCTCTCTCTCTCTTNTNTTTCTTTCTTCTTTTTTTTTTCGACATGAAACGCGTCGAGAGGATGAATTAACAGCTAGCTGGTTATTATTAGATTGCTTGTAAACAAGTCGAGATCTTTTTTCTATTCCGTTCATTTTTTTTTTTCGCGCAACATGGCGCGAGACGCATTAAAATGCTAGTCCGATTTTTATACGTATAAAAAACGGGATACAGAATGAATAGACATGTATGGTTACAGGAGGATAAAGAGGAGGATTTGTCGCAAGTGAACAAGTGCAAGAGATTAATTTTTTGTTTTCTTGATGAGCAAAATATATTCGTGTATTCGTGTACGTTTCATTTGTCTTATAATATATATAATTTCGTACAAAAATATTTATAGTATATACATATATACATATATACATATATACAACAACCAACTACAAAGTAGATTTATTCGTTCGTGCCTCGAATTATTTACATATTTATGAGTCAAGTATACATTCCATATTGCGTTTCTGTTTTTTTTTTTCTTTTTTACCGTGTGAAATATCGAATTACTTTAAATTCGTCGAGATTTATTTCCTTTTCATGTCTATAAAGGGAACGATACGGTTTTCTCTTTCTTTTTTTTCTTTTTTTCGTGCGCATTGAACTTTTATCGAAAATTTAGTTCCCGTTGAATCGTATCCAAGCGATATATATTCGCGAGATTTCGAAGCTACTTGCCCATCGAACTTGCCCCTCACAGGATCCATTCCTGTGTATCGAGTATTGCCGTAATAAGGGAATCCGTGTGAAAATTCTGTGTGCTGCGGAATCACTGTCAAAAACAAATACGTCCGTGTGAAATGAACGAAGAATCCAGAATCTATCGGTCTACGATTCAATTTATTATTAAAACGAAAAATTCGATGAGTTTCGTTGTTTTTCTTTTCTTTTTTTCTTTTTTTTTTTTTTTTTTTTTTTCGAGAAAAGCGAATCGACGAACAGAGAATCGGAATATCCTCTAAATCCGAGCGATAAAATGATATTTAACTTTGGCATAATTAACCATATAACTTTTTAATAAACTCTGCGTGGATCTTCTTTTGGAAAAAAACCTATGTGAAAAAAAAAAGAAACGTAGAATAAAGTTTGAAAGAATGGAATATGGAGCGTGATCGAGAAATCGACGAATCAATCGTTCAAACTACGTGTGCAAAGTGAATGTGGGAGCCGACTTGAATAGAGGCATTTTTACATTTTTCAAATTAAATTCGAAACAATGCACGTTCCGTGTACACTTTTTTCTTTCTTTCTTTCGTTTTTCTCGCATGGAGATCTCGTAGAATAGAGAATAACGAATATTTCACCGAGAAACAAAAAAAGAAAAAGAGAAGAAAAAAAGTATCTTCTCTCGTCCAGAGAAAGATCCATCCGTCCCCGTTCGCGATCATCGCGATTCGAAATCGAGGGTGAAATTGTTTTGAATCGTTCAATTAACCTGAGGCTTGGGCGGTTGAGGTTGTTGAACAGGATGGGACGGTGGCTCCTCCTTCTTCCTTTTCCCGGCCCTCTCGTATTCCTGAAGCTTTCTCATCACGCGCGGGGAGTCGGTGAGCCGAAAAATGCCGGAAAGCGGCCCGCGTGCCGCGTCCTCCGTGTCCAGAACGCGTTCACGGAGCCCCGAGGATTCCTGGGGTGTCGTGGACGTGAACCGCACGGTAGACCTCGAGTCGCCGTCGGAGTCGTCGCCATCCCGATGCCGCATGAATCGACTTCTGTACCTCGACTTGTTCCTCGGCACCTCGTACTCCGGCGCGTCGTACCTGTCGCCATAACACGTAATAACATTTTTATTATTCTACACCTCATCCGTTTCTCTTTCTTTTCTTTTCTTTCTTTTCTTTTTTTTTTTTTTTTTTAAGAAATATCCAAGGGCCGAGAAAGATTCTTTCGTTCGAACTCGCTGCGAAATTTTTTACTCGCCAGAGAATTAATTCTAATCTTTGACCAGCGTTTATGGACGAGGAAGGGGAAGAGAAAGAGGACGATATCTGTTCTCCTCTCTCGATAACAATTTCGTCCATTTCAATCGAACCGATGTAATCTGACAATTCGAGCGGCGCGTTTCGCGCTATCAGGCGTCGACAATCTCTCGAGTGACACGTGTCACCAATATTTCACGCGTGTAACGGATAGCGAGGCTTTTTTGTTTTGCTTTTTTAAGCGTGTTATTATTACGATTCGAAGAGACGAGGAGAGAGGAGTTATAAAGAGGGAAGAGACGTATCGTATGAATTTTTAATATTGTATCTTTTATGCTGGTCGATAGGACTCTAGCTATTTTTATCTTTTAACGATTAATCCGTTTGAATGAAATTTTTGGCACGAGCGAGAACCATTTCTCTCGCATGATTTTCTGGAACTGGGTTATCCGATTTTCAAGGGAATTTCAAGGCAAGAGATTCATCCAAGAGGATCGCTTAATTATCGTTTCGCATGACACGGGTTTGCATAAGAGAGAGAGAGAGAACGAAGAAGAAGAAGAAGAACGATCTTCTTCTAATTCGATAATCGTTCGCGTGGTTCACAGAAATCGGAAGAGTATCGAGTTTTCTTTTGCGTCGAATTTGAAATTTCTATTCGAAACAATTTGTTCTATATATTCGAGTGAATTTTCTTTTTCTTTCACTTCTACTTAAGAATCCGCCCATTTCGCATGTAAAAGAAGAAGAAACGGAAATTTAAATCGATGGAGAAACGATTTTATCGAGACGTTTAATGCAATTTTCTTCCCCCGAAAAAGAAACGGCAATAAAAGAATTTCCGATCCGAACGTCGTTCCGTTCTACGTAACACGACTCGACTCGAATCGTTCCCAACTATTAATATCCAAATTTCTACGACGAATGAATCGGTAAATTTAGATTTTCGATGCTTTTACTCCGTAAATCAGGTTCGAACGTAAGTAAAATTCACTCGTTCCCCAAGTTAGTTTGGGAAACAAACAAAAGCGCGAATAGTTGCTGCCGCAAATTCGTGAATTGAACGGTGCACGAACGTGGCACCGACGAATTTGCACGCCATCGTTTCGAGTAATTACCCTCGATTATCAGTCGGAGAACTTGCCGTTTATTAGCGACAATCGTCACGCGACCAAAGAAATCCTTTAAATCCTCCTTCTCCCCCCTCGGTATATCCTCGGTATATCTCGTTAATTATCGAAATGTTTTTCTTCTTTCTTTTTTTCTTTCGTTTACATTTCGACTTGATAAAATACGCGCGCGTATCACACGAAACGAAACGGTAATTAAACTCGACCATGCCTATTTCGGCCTCGAGGAAGTTGTTCCCGGCCCATGCCAGGAAAAAGATACAGCCAGTGGAGGCTCGTGTATTTATAACGTTTGCTAGAATAGATATGTGGGACATCGTGAAAAATGTATGCCCACCACGGACGCCGTTTGGCAATATTCCAAAGTAATCTACGTCCACGGTCAAACACGTTTTTACCGGTCAGCTAGTTACCCACCGAATACCTCTTTTCTTTCCCCCGCGGAGAGTCTTCGTTCTCTCTGCTCCAGAACACGTACTTTCTTCCGTACGTACGTAGGTGTACCAAGTTCTTCGACTTCTTTCTCCATTCTCTTCGTGTACTGTACTGATTTAAAGCGTTTCTAAGCTGTACCTACGCTTTTCGAACGCGCTGCTTCATAAACGTAAATGTAGGCTCGACACCGACGTTGAAACGATCGTAACTCTAGCGATACATTTTCTCTTAAGCTCTAAGAGACAATGTGGCCTCTCTTTGGAATATATTGGAATAGGAAGCAGACTTTTCCTCCTTGCATCGCGACGAAAAAGCGAAAAAGGGAGTAACAAAAAGAAGAGAGAGAGAGAGAAAAATAATGGAGAAGCAATTTTTCTCCTTTAACGCTTCCGTTCCGTGTGGAAAAATCGAGTTTTCTCGAGCGGAGAGAAGAAGGATGGTAGACTCGAATCGAAGGAAGGAATCGAGAACGTAGAAGGGATAATTACTCGTATTCGGGGACGTATCGATTTCTCGCCAGCCGCTCTTCCTCTTGCTGCCTGTATTGCGAGGCCAAACGATGGTCGCTTTTGCTTCTCATCAGGCCCGGTGATCCCCCCGGAGGTGCCAGGCTGCTCGAACTACCCAGCAATCCTCCACTTCCGGCCTCTGGCTTGATATTCAATTCACCGTAACCGGCTACGTGTAGGACCAGCTGATTCGGATCGTGCGCCATCACGAAACGCACCCGTCGACCGTAATCCCCCGCCTCGTACTCGAAGTTCCTGCCAACCAACCAACATGTAAATTAGCTTTAGTGAGTGAATTATCGTATCTTTATCGGCCAAGTTGCGGCGCTAGGCTCGCATACGATCCCTAGTGAAGTGTTCCAAGGAATTTGGAGAAACTTTCTCTCTCTGTCTCTTGGATTCCATCCCCCGTCGAAGAAAAGAAAAGTATTCTCATGAAAAATGTGCTTTATATAAAGAAGAGAGGAGATTTCTTTTTTTTTTTTTTTACATCTCGTTAAAAATGTAAACGTCCTCTTTCTTCCTTAAAAAGGATCACCGAGTTTTGCAATCTTAATGATATCACCTCTACTCGGATACGACCTTTGCATTTTATATGGAAAAGTTGATCCCCTCGTTTCTTTCTTCTTCGCACGCCGTCGATTGGTCGCGTAATCGAGAGGAGGGGCAGCTGTTAAATATTTCGCGGAGAGGCTTTTCCTTACTTGCTACGCTCGTTCCCTCCACGAGAGTAATAGCCGAGGTTAAAATAGGGAGGATTGCTTGAAAACTGGAAGACTGGTGTCGCGGGCAAAGTTGATATGTAAGCAGAATTTCGAGAAGTCGAAAGATTCATCCGCTTACGGAAGATGGAGCGTAAAAGTTGTTGCTGCGCATCTTGCGAGTCTTCTGTGTCCATCTTTTCCGATGGAAACGTTGGTGAAACGTCGGAGAAGCTATTTGGAAAACGTACGAATATATGGAGGGTGAATATTCCTCGTAACATTGCTTTTATTATTTTTCGATTCATCGATCACTATTATCGTCAATCTTGTGCTCGAAGAATAAAACTCTCGAAGAAGGGAACGAACGAATTTCACCGTTATTCGTTGAATTACACGCGCAGAGAAAGAGAGAGAGAGAGAGGTTTGACCAGGTAAATAATAGTAATCTATAAATTGACCGGTTAAAAACGGAAGGGAAATCGTTGAACGATTATTTTTAATGTAATGTACGTTCGGCCGTACTTTCTACGCTGTGTTTCACTTCATATTTCTAGCCGAGCTTCCTTCCTACCCGTTAAATCCATCCGGAGACTAATAAATACTCTTTTACTACTCCCAGCTGGCGAATTTTCAAATTCATCGCGTTCGAGATTGTATGAAGAAAAATTAAAAGAAGAAGGGGAAGGCAGATAAGATTGCGCGAGCGATGATTTGTCGCGAATTACGTCCCGAGTATAATCGTGCTTACGCTTTTATTTTTCGCGCAAATTTATCGAGGAGGTATCCAGCTTGAGAGAATCATTTCGATTATCCAGAAAATTTATTAGAAGTCCGCGTGAAATTTGTCGAACTCTTGAACCTCGAACGTTGAGAGAACGAGGAGGAGAAAGGTGGCCGATAATTTTCGAGATTCCGATTTTGACGTTAAATTCGACCAACCACGAGAAAAACGAGATGCGCTCTTCTACCCCGGAAATTGATTTTCCATGAATTTTCCAAATTTAAGTTTACAGTTTACAAGGAGGGAGATCTAGAAATTTTCAAGTATTGCCCCTCCTTCGAAGATTCGAAAGGAATTTTGAAGGAAGAAAGAAGATAATCGATTAAATTGTTCGGAAAATATGAAAATTGCGAGATATTTCTAATGTGATGGGCAGGAAAGAGAGTCGGATTAGGGTGAACAAACCTGATGAATTCGACGGTACGCAAGAAGAGTTCTTTCGTATCGAGGAGTTCCGAGTCGTCCCACGGCACGTTCTCGTTGATGTGAGCCTCCGCCAAATCGCAGTTGCTCTGAATATTCGCGATTTCCAATTCGAGATTCTCTTTGAGTTGAATCAAGCCTCTGAGCTCGGTGCTCAGGTATCGATCGACCTCGTTACGCAGATGTTCCGTGCGGTCTTTCAAAGCCTTGCTCAGCCTCCGATAAATCTCGTCCACCTCTTCCGTGACCGAGGCGCAGTTTGTTTGCAGACCCAACGTGTTTTTCTCCACCAGGGTGAGCGCGTCTTGCAACCTGTGCAGCCCCCTCCGAATCTGCAAGATTACCATTTCTTTTTAATCCAACCTGCGTTATTAAATAATATTCCCTCCCTCTCCTCCTCAAAAACCATTCGTTCATTCATTCTGGATTTTCAGAAAAATTCCGCGTTATATCTCTTTCGCGAGATATAAAATAATAATAATAATCCCGTAATCCGATAAAATATTTGAAAATATTCAAGGGAAGGTGAAAAGGATAAACTTTTCGAATAGAATTTTTATATTGTTTTATTAATTCTTGATTGATCGAATAAACGAGGAACGGTCAAAAAAAGAAAAAAAGAAACGAATTTTAATTGAGAAAAGAATCGTTGTCGCGATAAAAATCACTCCCTCCTCTTTCGTTCGAACGCGATAACGCGCGTGTTTCCCGTCGCCGCGTTCCCCCCTCTTTCAAACTAGGAATTCGTATCGCGAAAGGAAGCCGTTTGTTTTGGAAACATTAGGAGAGGGCAAATATACCGATCGGATATTTTCGGATTGCGCGTACATAGCGCGTGGTTATACGTAGTACGCGCGGTTATGTTGACCTGAATTCGTCGGTATTCGTTTTCGAATCGAGTCGATACGCAGTTCGCTTTCGATATTTCTGTGGCTAATTTAAAAATTTCAAGATCGATCGAAGCGTAATTCGGAAGTTCGAGAAGTATTCGAGGAGTTTTTCATCCGAACGAGCATCGGCCTGCAATCGTGTTGCCAAGGTAGGAGAACCACGGAGGAAAACCATCGTGTTTTGGTTTCGCGATTGTTCGCTCATTTGTCAAAAATTCCTCCATAACCTTCAATTCATTCGTTCACTCGCCAACATGTAGCCGCACTTTTCCTTTTATAAATTAATAATTCAATCTAAAATTCTGCAAGAAGAAATGATCCTCCAACCACAATATAATATCTCAATATTCTCGTCGTGACTCGATTGACCATCCGACCATCATGTTTTTCGAATCTTGAAGGTTTCCTTTGCACGTATCAATAATGGAGTGAGAATTTATTCGAACCGCCTCTCCCTATCCAACCATATCCAACCATTTCCTCGAATAACCTCTCCTCCCTTTCTCTTCTTTTTTTTCCAGAAATTTGCCGCCGAATTTCGTACAAGATTTCCTTAAACTGCATAACAAATATCGAGCTATTCACAATTCCCCTCCGTTAAAAATCGACGATGAGGTAAATCGACACGGGTTTCCCCTTATTTCCTCGAAATAAGAAATATTCTTTCTCCAAAGCAGCGTAGCTAGCTTTGAGTGGCTACGATTCCGTTTTCAATATGGAACACCGTCGTTTCTCCGCGTCATTTTCGTAAATTTTTTATATTATAACGCGATTTAGCGGATAAATTTCAACGACGAGGTTGAAATGTAAACCTCGGAAATGAAACGGAACTCGAACGAAGGCGAATATTCTATAATCCGTGTAAACGGCCGGAATTCTTTTCAAGTTGAACGAGTTGGCGCAAGAATGGGCGGAGAGGCTAGCGAAAAAGGGTATTCTTCAGTACAAATCGGACCCAAAGTACGGCGAAAACATATACATATCCCCGTGGAGGAATTTGCCTTACGACATCAAACCGAAGGATCCGTTGGAATCTTGGTTGGTTAAGTTTATATATATATATATATCTTCAGAATAAGAATTATCTTTTTTTCTTTTTTAAATTTACGACTGTACGATCGTCGTAATTGAAATTTCGTGCGAGAAGACTCGATAAGTGGTATATTATATTTGATTTAGGTATCGAGAGGGTGATTACTACAAATACGGAAACAACGATATAAAAGGTTTGAACAGCGTGTGCCACTTCACTCAACTAGTATGGAAGAATACGCAATCGATCGGTCTTGGGATAGCCATCGCTATCAACGGGGCATTTTACTTCGTTTGCTTTTATTATCCCTCTGGCAACATCGAAGGCCAATTCAAGGAAAACGTATTGCCACCGATCAAGGTATATTTTTAACCGTTTCAACGTGTATAAATATTTTCAATTTCGTCCACCTATCGTCGTATATTCCCCCCCCCCTCCCCCCGCTTCTAAAATTTAATTCCATTCACGATTTTCTTTTCTTTTTCTTTTTTTTTTCGAAATCGCGATCGATCGCGAAGATCTTCGACGAAATTAGGAAATTAGAAAATAATAGGAAGGGATTGGAAATCGCAATCACAGGTGTAGTCACAGTTGTTGGCGATATATGAGGGGAAGGAAGGAAAAGTGAGAAACGTAGGCAGCAGAATTTTCCTGGACAGGCAGGGCAAATCGAATCGTCGCCAAGAACCTTTTTGATCGATCGGGAACGATCTTGAATTTCAGGCACGAATGCTCTTTCCTTCTTTTTCCTGTCCCCAAAGAGCAATATCCACGAGCTGTCGATATCCGATCGTAAACTCTACTCTGTCTCAAAGACGATCGAGGCAACCGATTTTATTCCTAGCTGGAGATAGACGCGAATCATTGCCGGGGTTTAGCGTTTTTTCGAGACAATTCGGGATTTCCATTCGCCACAATTCGGGTCTGATCCCTCCAATTTCGGCTTCCCGATCCCTTCGAATTTTTAACAGAGAGAGAAAGAGAGAGAGCTACTCGATCACGAATCCACTACTCGAGTCTGTTTTTAATCTCCATCGACAATGACCGTGGATTATTCCACCTCGGTTCGGATTCCACCGTTTAATCCTCGAGACGGTTTTTAATCGGCGGGAAATTAGAAGAAACTGAAAGGTGAGGGTTAGTAGTCGAACCGTGAAATCCGTTTCTCCTCCCATCTTCTCGTGATAAGTCGATATTTCCACTTTTTTCTCTCCTTCCATTTTCCACACCTAAAAGAAGTATAGGTTCTCCAACGGGTGAGTCGGAGCCCGGAATATCGAAAATACGGATGTTTCGTCGATTCAAACGAATCATCTTTTAATTTTTCCCTCTTGACGATTTTTCTTTTTCACGAAACACAGAGAACACACAGAGGTTACCTGGGAATTGATGCGCGTTATTTCACGCCTCAGGATGTCCATGTGAGCGTCCTTGCACTCGGGGCAACATTTTTTCTCGCAGTGGACGCAGAGGCTGCAGTAGCTCTTCTCGGAACAAACGCCGCAACGTTCCATGGTTTGGCCGCTGGTCGGGTCCGGCAACTCTCCTGTGATCTCGATGTGCAGCTCCAGGAATCGTTGGAGGGTGACGTTGGTCGGGAACGCCTGGACGCCCTACGCCGCGACATACAACACACGGGTTAAGAACTCCGATCGAATTTTAATCGAATAACGACATGAAACGTCTCCTTCGGAAACGAAACGAAAGAAATTCCAAGCGGAAGGGAGAGAGAGAGGGGTGACTTTGATCTCGGCACGCGTACACGGCTTTTACCTGAAATTGAATTTCATAGGAGGAAAGAGAGAGAGAGAGAGAGAGAGAGAGAGGAGGTAC